CGACTTGTATGGGTAAGAATACTATCAATCATTCATCTCTTTCGATTTCTGGTGTTAAATTAGATAAAAGTCAGAGAATTCAGTGAATTGTGGTCATAATTTTGTTCAAAGAACTCGAGGTGAGGAGTTTGGGGATAACATTGTGATTGGGGACATTAGGCAGTATAATAAGTGGAAACCAAAGCCTAAGCTTGAATTGCATGTTTTCTATGGGGAAAATACCAGAAGTTGGTTGAGGAAATGTCATAAGTACTTCCGTATGCATGAAATGAGCTTAGATGAGCAGTTGAATTTGGTGGAGTTTATTTGGATGGTGTGGATATTTGGTATCAAGGTTTCAAATCAGTTTATCCCTATACTGATTGAATATTGTTTGAAACTGAATTACTCAAAAGGTTTAAGGATCAGTGTGAGGATCCAATTGAGGAATTCAACAAGCTTAGCCAGGAAAAAATAGTTAAAGAGTACTATGACAAATTTGAAGAGTTGAAATCTAAAGTAGTGTGTGCTGTTCCAAGGTTGAGTGAAACTTGTTTCATATCTAGCTTCATTAGTGAATTGAAGGTGGAGTATAAACCATTTATGAGGTTTGCTGAACCTAAAACAGTGCAAAGAGCTTTTGAAGAAGCAAGAACTTAGGAACCTACTCACTCCTTGGTCCCTGAACCTAAGGTTTATACTTCCCCAGTAAGTAGAACTTACAATGTTGGTGGTAAAGTAGCTGCTCAATGAGTGAAGAACAATGATAGACAATTTTTTAAGAGGTTGTCACCAAAGGAAAAGGAATACAGAACAGTAAACAATCTCTGATGGAAATGTAATGGTGCATAGGGTCCTGGACATGTTTGTAAAATGGAACATGTTAATCTCATTGTTGTTGATGATGATGTGGATTTGGAACAAGTCAAATTGGCTGAGTGATGAGTTGGAAAAAGCTCATGAAATCCAAGTTCAAGCTATCTAGTCAGTGGTGATGATGAGAAAGCAGAACCTAGACGACTCATAGTGGTTCTGGGGTACATTAATAATGAGCTGATTAAGATTTTGATTGATACTGGAGCTGTAAGAAGTTTTGGGGACAATACTTTAGCACCAAAACTTGGTCTGGTCAGAAAGGTGTGAAGCCTTACTATGTTAACGTGGCAGATGGCCATCAGATAAGGAATAATGTTATATGTCCAACTACCAAATGGGCTATTCATAAACACCACTTCCAATTTGATTTTAGAATCATGGATTTAAGCAATTGGGGAATGATTCTAGGAACTGATTAGATGCCACATTTTAGTCCAATCCTCTTTGACTATGAGAAATGTTGTATGGAGCTGTCTTGGCAAGGAAGAAGGTTTATGATTTAGAGCCATTCTTTAGCAGCAGAGGTTGAGATACAAGGATTGCTGAGACAAGTTCCATCTAAGAGAATCAGACCAACAGTTCATTTCATTTTTTCTGATAAGAGGCTGAAATGGTGACGGTGATAAGAAGGATAAAAGAACCACCCCACTGTCACCTTTGCCAGTGTTAGCCTGTTTAGAGTATGGTGAGATATCTCCTGAGATTCAAGAGATTTTGGTGGAATACCAACAAGTGTTTGAGGAACCCACTGCTTTGCCACCTGAGAGATTTGTAGATCATCAGATTGTTCTTAAACCAAGAGTTGAGCCCTTTAAACTCAGACCTTATATTCCCATGCTCACAAAAATGAAATTGAGTCACAAGTGGATGACCTGTTGAAGAAGGGGACTGCTAGGGAAAGTGACAGCCCATATGCATCTCCTGTGTTACTCACCAAAGAAAGATGGCATTTGGAGGATGTGCACAGACTACAGATACCTTAATTCCTTAACAGTTAAAAACAGGTACCCCATTCCTGTAATTGAGGAACTGTTGGATGAATTATGTGGTTCTCAGTACTTTTCTAGGATTGATTTAAGATCATGTTATCATCAAATCAGGATTGCTAAGGATGACATACCTAAAACAGCTTTCCAAACTAATCATGGACATTATGAGTTCTTGGTAATGCCATTTGGACTTACTAATTCTCCTGCCACTTTTCAGAAGTTGATGAATAAGGTTTTTAAACCTCATATCAAAAAATTTGTTTTGGTGTTCTTTGATGATATTCTTATTTATAGTGTCACCTTGAAGGATCATGTGTTCCATTTAAAGGTAGTGATGCAGATTTTGTTGGAAAACCAGCTGTATGCCAAGAGATCTAAGTGTTCTTTTGCACAAAGTTCCATGGAATATCTAGGGCATGTAATATCAGCAGAGGGAGTTCACATGGATCCTGCTAAGATTCAAGGTATTGTGGATTGGCCTGTTCCAAAGATAGTTAAGGAGTTAAGGGGTTTCTTGGGGTTGGCAGGCTATTACAGAAGATTTATTAAAGGTTTTGGGTTAATAAGTAAACCTCTTACCTTTCTGTTAAGAAAAGGGGAAAGTGGAATGAGAAAGCCGAGTTATCTTTCCAGCAGTTGAAGCAAGCTCTTACTACTGCATCTGTTTTGAGGCTTCTAGATTTTTCTCAGTCTTTTGTTGTGGAAACTGATGCTTGTGGGGATGGTATGGGAGCTATGTTGATGCAACAGGATCAACCTTTAGCTTATTTGAGCAAGGCTTTCTGTGAAAAATACAAGTCTCTATCTACTTATAAAAAGGAGCTGTTGGCTTTGGTTATAGCCATTACCAAGTGGAAACATTATCTCCAAGGGAATCATTTTACTATAAAAACTGACCATCATGCTCTCAAATATTTTTTTGTAGCAAAAGATTACTACTCCTTTACTACAGAAGTGGTTAGTCAAGCTGTTGGGACTAGATTATCAAATACAATACAAGAAAGGCAAAGATAATGTGGTTGCTGATTGTTTGTCCAAAGAAACATGGGGATAATAAATGATTCTTTGAATGCAGTCACCACAGTTCAACCTGTTTGGCTTCAACAATTAGCCAACAGTTATGTGGGGGATGTGGAGCTAAGGAGATGATTTTAGGTGCTACTCTTGATAGTGTCAATGATCCACAGTAGCAATATGTGGGGGGATTGCATAAGGTGGATGGAAAAATGTATGTAGGATGCAAGGGTGATATAAGGAACTTACTGTTAACCACTTTTCATTCCTCAACTTTAGGTGGTCATTCTAGTCAAAAGGCCACCTATCAAAGGATCAGATCCTTATTCACTTGGAAGAACATGAAGTTGGATGTAGAGCGGTTTGTTAGAAGATGTTCTATATGCCAAGCTAGTAAAGTTGAACATGTGCATTATCCAGGACTGTTGCAACCTTTGGCTATTCCACAACAAGCTTGGAAAGATATTTCAATGGATTTTATTGAAAAGTTACCTTTGTCTGAGGAAGGGTTTGATTGTCTGTTGGTGGTGGTGGATAGGCTGACTAAATATGGTCATTTCATTCCCCTTAAACACACTTTCACAGCAAAGGATGTGGCTGACAAGTTTATGCAAGAAATCTATAGGTTTCATGGCTTACCAAAGAATATAGTGTGATTGATAGAGATAAAATCTTTACTAGTCACTTCTGGCAAACCTTATTCAAGACTGTGGGGGTGCAATTGAACTTGAACATTGCTTATCATCCTCAATCTGATAGTCGGACAGAGAGGGTGAACCAATGTTTGGAAGGATACTTGAGAAGGTTTTGTCACTCTACTCCTAATGCTTGGTCTAAATAGATTGCATTGGCTGAGTGGTGTTATAACATTGCTTTTCACTCAAGTTCAAGGATGACCCCTTACCAGGCCTTGTATGGATATTAACCTGTTGGAATTCCACTAAAAAGCTATCATGATGTGATCATTCATGCAGCTAGTGATATGTTACAGCAACAACATAATATTATGGCCAGGTTGAAGGAAAGTTTGGTAAAGGCACAGGAGAGAATGAAGTTTTATGTTGACAAACTCAGAACTGAAAGGGCATTTCAGGTTGGGGACTTGGTCTATGTGAGACTGCAACCTTACAAGCAACAATTGATTTGAATAGGCACTGCTTGAAGATGGGGCTGAGGTATTTTGGTCCGTTCAGAGTGTTAGAAAAGGTGGGAAGTGTGGCTTATAAGTTGGAATTACCTGTAGGATCAAAAATTCATTTAGTCTTCCATGTCTCTTTACTCAAGCTTCATCATGGACCAGCTCCAACCACTATCACTATGCTGCCTGATATTGACAATCCTGAATCTTGTGTGTTGGAACCAGAACAAGTGTTGCAGAGAAGTTTTGTGTGGAGGGGCAGCTAACAGGTTGATCAATGGTTGATCCGGTAGGAAGAACTTCATGTGGAGGATGCTTCTTGAAAGGATTGCTCTTTCATTAAAGGTCAGTTTTCATCATTTCATACTTGAGGTCAAAGTAATGTTTATGGGGGAAGGAATGTCATGCCCGCCAAAATTAATGCGGTAGTGGAATTTAAAAGAAGCAGCACTTTGGCACGGCGCGAGAACTAGTGTTTCATTGAATATTTTCATGCGCATGCGGGTCGGGTTGGAGTGCACGTGACCCGGCTGAGGTGGTTTGTCTTTTAGCTATATATAATAGAATAATGCTGTATTAGTAGAATCAATTAAGTCATAAGAATTGTGTGAAGCGTATTTCTCTTCCCTTGTTGTTACCGGAGCTTGCTCCGGTTGCTTTTCCGGTGACTAAAAGGTTCATTTCCGTTTAATAAAAATACAATTCAATTCCAGTGTTACACCATACTACACAGAATATTACAAATCACATCACAAAATAATATGGGATGAATGGCACGTTTGGAATTGATTCGATTATAACAAGTTCTAACCCATAACACACCATCCCACCCATGAGAGTATATGTAAATTTCAGTTTAGAATTAACACAACTCATGTGACACTTAATACGTTACATCATACAACTCTACTCTTTTTTTTTTCCCTTTTTTCTCAATAGATGAGAAAGAACTCGCTAAACTGAATTGGGATTATCATATGCTTGGTTCTAAAGATGCTCAAGCCCTACCTATCCGACAAAACAGAGGCACTCCAGGAAAGCATCATATCTCGAGCAACAGATGGTATGTCTGCAAGAATTTCAAAGTCAACATAAAGAATACCAGCCTAAACAAAAGACATCATGATCCCAACCCCTCAAAAACTTGTCCGAGCTTTTACCTTGTGCAACCTCCAGAGCAACAGATGGTATATCTATTTGGTCCTCCAACAGCTGGTATACGTCCACAAGCTGAAAGGCATTCTAGTCATTTTTCAAATCTCACAGATGCTACCAAAAAATCATTGAGTGACACTAGAGAGAGTGATTCATATGGTGAAGGCACATACAAAAGCAAACACTCTTTATTCCAGTACATTCTACTTTGTTAAGAAGGTAATTAAAGACTAATCTTCGCATGTTCATTTCCCAAACAATTTCACAAAAAAAAAAAAAAAAACTCCATTCGGTAACTCATTATTGTTATAATGTTATCACACACCTCTTGAATATGAAGCTTGGAATCTTCAGTAAGGGCAAGCAGCAGCTGCCTACGGATGCCTTCATCCAGTATGAAAAGCCGAGCCCCATCCTTGATTGTGTCTGTGAGATTCAGTTTTCTTTCGACTTGTTTCTGATTGGCCTTTAGCCTGATGGAATCGTCATCAAACAATCAAAAAGTGGGAAGATAACAGAATAGCAGAAACCTACTTACAGTTCCATAGCTAAAAAAGAAGTAAAGCGATCGACCCAACCATATTTAACAAAATGAAGTAACCTGCTTCGCTCTCGAAAAGCTGGGTTGCTGCTCATCTTTGCCACATTCTCTTTTGCTAAAACAATTAGATTCTCGAACCGTTTCCACTGGAAAACACCATCTTTAAATAAAACCTGGTAAGAGGGACAGCAGTATTTAGCTGAGAGCTTTTAATGAATCAATGCAGTCCCAGTAGAAACTGGTTCAACTACAAAATATTGCGCTATAAACAGGAAATGATCTGATGTAGGATTAAACAACAAACAAGTCAGAGCTGAGGATGAAATAACGAACAGAAGAAACATCTGTTACTAAGAAAGTCAGGGAGCTACAAAGAAAAACTTAGAATCAAGCCAGTTAAAAATAGATCATTAAGGGGAGCCACAGGCCATATGGAAACAGATGTTCTTTACCAGTCCCAGTTAATTTAATTGAAGCATTTGCATGTTGACAGTTTCACAGGAGAAAGCAAGTGCTAACTGAAGTAGGAGTCGAATGTATCAAATGTGGTAATCCTAAGACTTAAAAAGATACACTGTATTACAGGAGTCTTCTACCACAAATTGACGACATAATGGATTTTGCCAACCTGAATAAGACGCTCCCTTAAAGCCGGGTTAGGGTCTGTCAGAAGACGCTTGGCAACATATGGATAAGCAACCTACCAGAAAAGGCTCCCCTATTATTGATCGAACAATCATTTGCGAAAAAATTAACAAAAATAAAGTTCAAACATTTCAGTTGACATATTTAACTAGGTGAAATATATAAACAGATGCAGCACCACTTATTCTTCCAGTACACTGCTAAAGGACAAAAAATCTTGAAACGTTATTGACTATATCCAACAATCAAGGCATAATCCATTTCTGTAGCCCAATTTATTCACAAATAACATAAATACCAGTGTCTCTTTCTGGATGACCATAACGATGGATAACTGGAAGTAAACTCAACGAGACAATTAAAAGATTTGCCACCTCAAGAAACTTGAAATCCGGCTCCAGAGTCAAACATATCCCTTCTTGTGTTAATAAAGAGCGAATAACCAGGGAAAATCTCTCCGGGATGCGAATGGGGTAGTTATAAACTAGTTGATTGAACTTCCCTGAAAAAGGGAGAAGTCATTTCACTGTATTTCACCATCAAAAAATTTGAATATAAGTCGCACAACTTTAAACTTCAACAAAAAAGTAACAATCAGAGGGGCGCTCCAAATAATATAACAAAATGGATTAATGCCTAGATGAAATAGTTTAACTCAATGAAGTTAAGTTTCATATAGTTGGCCAACCGAAAGTCTTCCATATAGTTGGTCCCAAAGAACAATGCCAGAATTGTGCAACTATGTTAAGTACATACGTTTTCCTTAAATCAAATTGGAGGTTGTTTCAGGTATCTCTTATGAGATAAGGGAGTTATCTCAGTACTGCAGCATAATGATGTTGAGTGGTACCTAGATATTCCTGCTCGATCATTATTCCAAAAAAAAAAAAAATCACTTCTTTCTTTTTCCTAATCTGCTTGTAGTCTTGTACAATTGCACAACGCATCATCGGGGAGGTCACAAAAAGTACTCTCATTTCCCCCATAAAGCCAGTCCTCTTTGATGAACAGTTCTGGCTCAATGAACATGATTTTATGACAGGTAAGAAATAAATTTTAGTACAGTAACTAAAATAACAATTTTTTTATCACCAAGAAATAAAGACATCTTGTGGAGAACAAAGATTAAACATACCAGTAACACTTCGGAAATTGAAGTCCACAAGCCCTTTTTCAAGTGAATTTTGCCAAATTGCTTCAAGCGCTGGAACAATAGGGGAGACATCAGTTCCACTGGCAAGAAAACCAAGCCTGGTAAAATCATTTGCCATCTCAGTGTAATCCTCATTCACAGCATGGACGACAGCATCTATAAGAATCTGTTTATTTTGCTGTAAGGAAAACGAGATGCATCAAGAAGTAATCAATATTCTCTCCCAAGGGTTTTCCAGGAAAATTATGTAAATACTACTATCAACAAGTTACATTAGGATTACCACAACATTCTACATAATGTGCTACAACCTAAAGGGAAAATGCAGCAGTGAGTCCACGTGCAGGGTCCAGTTAAAGGAAGGGCTAATGTGTATAGCACCTGCAGAGATTAAAAAGAACCACCACCACAAAGCCTTAGTCCAACTATGTTGGATCAGCTATGTGAACCCTAATCCATCATCATGCGCTGCTAAAACCATATTTTCTTGATAAAATAAATCATGCACACAGCAGAGTAGAGACACTAAAAAGTAGAAAAAAGAGAGCACATAGGGGTATATTTTATTCTAGCAGGCTAAACACCACCCATTCTGCTTAATGAAACAACGGCATAGTTATACTCCAGAAGTTCACTATTTACTGTGCCACACAAAGTGATAAAGCAAACTACAGTACTAAGATGTTCCATCACAGTGCTTTATTCAGCTGTACTTCTTTCGTATCACAGAATACACCAAAAGTGTTAACCAACCAAAATATATTAATTAAAAATTACACCAAAAGTTTTTCAAGGCAAACCGGTAATGGGAACCATAGTAAGATCACTTTACAGCGGTTCTTTTACCAACAAAGAACGCACCTATGATTTGAATATATAACCGGAAAAATGTGCATCTTTTTGCATGTACCATAAATAGAGATGGTCACTAGATTTACTAGCTAATTGGTCAACTCTAGCAGTTATTCCAGATATAAACTTTGATGATTTAGCTGGTGGGCAACTCTTGTCCAGAAGAAAGATGTAAGAACTGGAACTCACCTATCTAAATTTTACACAATATTAAACGGGAAGTTGAACCTAATTTGACAAGGATGCAATGACCTTTTCTCAGACACACCTTATCTTTTCTCCCTACTTCAGATCTGCAGACTTTCCATGTGGTTTAGACTGAACATCCATGAAAAGAATTCATACATGTGAAGAAAACAACCATAAAGCACAAACTCAAATATAAGCACAAAATATCTCCATTGAGACTGAAGCCAATGAAGAGAAGGATAATAGGCTGTTGCTGCCGTGATATAGTCTCCATAAAGAAAGAAATAGAAATTACCTGACTAAGCACAGCAACATTCCCAAAGTCCACATAGGCTATACGTCCATCAAGCATGGCAAAAATATTTCCAGGGTGAGGATCACCATGGAATAGACCAAATTCCAGCAACTGTCTAAGGGCTGCACTTACTCCAACAGTCAAGAAACCTTCTACATCAATTCCTGCATCCTTGATAGCCTGCGTTCAGTTGAGTGAGTACAAAAGGCTTGGAGAAGGCAGTAAAAGAAAAATCTCACAAACAAATTTATAAACCTGTGGATCGGTGCATCGGATTCCATCAATCCACTCCATCACCAGAACACGTGAACCACAGAGTTCACGATAGACCCCAGGAATTTTAACAGTAGGGTCATCCTTAAAGTTTTCAAGGAAATCTTCAATATTGCGAGCCTCCTAGAAGCAAGAAAAAATTATACATATCTAAAGAGAAGGAGCCAAAAAAAGGGAACAGGGATTGTATAGAATGTGAATATATTTAGGCAAAAATTGATACACTTGCACATCTAAGAGATTCGCAAGCACCTATGTGGCAGATTCTTAGAAAGGAGCATAACTACTTGAAATCATATTATTTGAAATCACCTTAAGCATTTGGGAATGCAGAATAGAGTTGTTATCGACTAACAAGCTATCCAAGCTAGGTGAAATGCTGAATAATATCTTGTTCAAGATATGTCCCTTGACATCGTTGCTTCCATAGCAATTTTCAAGCCTTAAGAGCCTGTTTTGATTTTCTGTTTTTTCCCAATTTGTTACACAACTTCTTATAATGCACACTTTTATATTTGTAAAATTAGATAAAACAGGAAAATTATATTAATAGCAACAAATACATAGTTGAAAAAAAATAGTGACAGGTGTATCCACTTTATTGGTTCAAGTAGTATTATGACCCCCGGTTTTGTTGGCACTTTCCCGTATAAATTCTATTTTTCCCAGAAATTACACTTTTACCCTTAGTTATTTTATATACATCAGTTACAATGAATTTTCACTGTAATTTTTCAATAGCTCCATCACTGCTCTAAAATCACTAAAAAAAACAAAAAGTTCGACAAAAAGGAAACATTTCTGTAAATCCAGGAAACATTTCTGTAAATCCTTTTAATGTAGAATTTTACATTCACTAGGAGAATCTAATACCAAAATAAAAACACTGTCTATACAAACCATTGGTTCCTAGTTGGCTGCACTCCACCTAGGGATTTAATAATGCCTAAAACTTATTCTCTCCATTTTCTATTTTGTAGTCTCTGAAACCATGCTCTAGTGGGTTTGTTCCTCTTATACAGTTCTGATAGACAAAGCTTATTCAAAGATTAATTTCCACCAATTTAACACTCCATCTGAAGTGACTATGTGGGTGAACATATTTATAGCCATTGCGACTAATGCCATAGTTCTATCACGCTTCTACTACTCACATAATCACCTATCCTGTATGCCTGCATGTACTGATACTGGTACTGATTTTCAACTAATATTATGCAGCAAAAACATGTGATAAGCTGAACGATGAAAATAAACCTATCTGAAGCCTTAATAAAGTGAAAAACTAAAAGGGTGGCAAATAAAGTTGTTTTATGGAGTGTTATTGTGAAAAAGAATCCAAAAAGCTGAAGAACACTTAGCAGTCATAACTAAAATCCTTTAGGCATCACGTCCAAACCAAAATACCATCATCCAAGAGCCCCCAAAGAGAACAAAAATGTCGCAGCAACTTGTTCTTCAACTCAGTTCTATGTTTTTATTCAGAAGAACTACACTGTTCATAAACTTCGCAGTATTAAGGTTAAAAGCAACATCAATCTCTCCAACAGCAATGAATGTAAAGTAAACACATTTACCACAAAGATAATGCATTACTAACTATATTCAAGCAAACCAAAAACCTAAATACTAGATTCCTGGGAAGAAGTGAAATACTAAAATACCCTTAGTAAACAGTAAAGTACTTCTTAAGGCTCTGTTTGGTTGCCTAGAATTGGAACCAAAATTTGGAATTGGAAGCCTCCAATTCCAATTCTTGTTTTTGGTTACTAAAAATAGAGGTGCAAGAATTAGAATTACAATCCAGTATGGAGTTCAATTCCATATTTTCAATCCTTTTGTGGAAGCAAATAATTGTAATTCTAACTCGGGGACTTAAAATGAAATCACGGGTCCCGTCCGGGATAAAACGGGGTTATAAGAAAAATGGGTCAAAATGGCCAAAAACTGATCCCATGGCTCTCGCGTGTATACACACTCCTTAGTTTTTTGAAAAATACATATTCCAACACGCTAACATGCACAACACCTTTTTCATCCTCAAATAAAAAGAATTAAAAAATAAAAACTAAAAATCTTTCACCACTTTATATGCGTCTTGCCTTTTTTTCAAATCTTTTTTAAAATTGTTTTTTATTTTCTCTTTCTTTGGTCAAGAAAATATGAAAATATATAAATACCCAAAACAACACATTAAAAGTATTAATTAATACTTTTCTGCTAGAGTTTAAGCATTTTTATTATTATTAATTTTTTATTTTTTTATTTTTGGTAACGCCGGGAACCCCACCAGAGATGGGTAAACCCACGCCCACTGCAAATCACATAATATTCGAGAAATCATTCCATCTGTACACCTATGTTATATGTATAAGTTTTGAACTATACAAGTCATTTTTTCACTAAACAATTATGTAAGTTCTCGTTAATTTTAAATATATATTTTTCATTTAAAATCATAAACTAAAAAAGAAAATATATAATTATTAGCATATAATAATTTGATGTCAATCTCAATATAAATGAATACCAATATGTATAAACTGACTTCTACATTCAATCAAAAATTTTCTTTTAAAAATTAAAAAATCTAAAAAATTGATAATTAAAATCTTAAAAAATAATAAAAGAGAAGAAACAAGTAGGTTTTACTTATTACTTGTTTGTATGCTAATTGAAAAGTATCATTTAATAATTCTTAAATAATGAAAAAAAAAAAGTTTTTCATGAACATATATGCATACAATAAATTAAATAAAAAATACAATTAAAAACAAGAAATAAAAATTGTATTGGCCAGAAAAAAAAACAAAATAATTCTAATATATAAAATTCTCAAGCATCAAAACACAAGAATTGGTATTGCAACCTATTCCCTCACTAATTCTTTACATCTACCAAACAAAGGAATTAAGATTGAATTATGATCCCAATACCTCATTTTCTATAGGATTTTAATTCTAATTCAATTCCAGTTATATCTAACTAAACGGAGCCTACGAATAAACTAAATTCTTGCAGTCTTTTAAAAAAAATCTAACAGAACAGGAAAAGCAAAAGATAGTCTTCAAATTGGAGTTCTTCAAATCTCCACTTCTTGCATCAGCTATTTGGTCCTGCTAACTGATTATTATCTATGTTGAGTTACTACCATTCCAGCCTCATGTTGTTTTACTTACTTATTAACCAATCCGCTATGTAGTAGTTTCTGTTGCCCTTATATAGATTTTACCCCATTACACAGAACCTTTTGCTTTCAAAGGCAGATCTTTCGTTCCCAAACTCCATATGTTCCCAACTGAGTTTGGGGTATTTGTCTTTCTCGTCTGACACAACTTACCTGACTAGTATTTTCCATTACACATAAAATCACATTTTCGTATATGAGGCTTATTACTAATTACATAATCAATCACAAAATAAGGCATGAAAACTATTATTCTTTTCACAAACACGTGATATAAATGCTGTATAATTACCAAAGTGTAATCAAGCTCCTCCAGAAGCTTTTCCCCAAATTCATCAACTATAAGCTCTGCATTGCAACCCAGCTTTTGCAAGCTGATTCCATTCAAGAATGATGCCAGAGTCCGGAAAAGAAAAAGATCACGATAAATGATAGGCTCTATCTCAGGTCTTTGTACCTGCACAACATTCAGTGTTCACGTGAATTTAATTATGTCAATTAATATCATTACAATAACTTTTTTACTTTGAACGGAATTCAATGATTAAAACTTTTTGCAAATTTTGATGAAACAAAAGAATGTAGACATGAGCAAACTTGACTATAATCTAGAATTGTTTTGCTGTGAGGATATTCAGTCAAGCACCCATCTTATAAAAACATATTTAGTCATAAACCCCAGCTTCCTTATATAATTCCCAAATGGATGATTTACGTATTATTTATGTTTCTCTGGTGTTGGCTCACCACATTCTTGAGTAACATTTGCATAAAACCCACAGAAAAATATCATAGAAATTCCAGTCGCAATCATGAACTGCGAACTGCACGAAGAAATTGAATGTCGTAAAACCTTGATAGCGACATCCTCCCCAGAACGTAAAGTTGCTCGGTAAACCTGCCCCAAACTTGCTGCAGCTATTGTCTCAGATGAAATCTTACTGAAAACAGCTTCAAGAGGTTGACCCAGTTCCTCTTCTATGATTCCAAAAGCAACCTAAATCATTATCAACAATATGTAGGAAAAAAGAAAGGGCCATTTTACTTGAAGAGGATAAGCAAAAGTACACAGCGTAAGTACCTGATTGGGGAAAGGAGGAACATCATCCTGCAGAATACAAAGTTCATTCATATAATCCTCTCTAATGATATCAGGCCTATTTGCAAGCACCTGTTTCAAAAATGAAATAGAAAATGGCAAAAATATTTATGTAATTAGATAAAGCTTTTCAGCACCTGGAATCAAAGTACCTACAATAGGATAATGTGGAAATCCTCTAATTGAACAGTCAATTACGAAAAGATTATTTGACATTGTAATCAGGGATTTGGATTCATTTCTAGGCTGATTACTTGAACACCTAGAAAAATGTTTACGGAGCAAACTCAATTATATAGAGCTTATACACAGAAATACTGAACATACTCGTCTTCGGATTAATTGCTTCTCTAAAGCAATCTTAAAATTTAAGCAGTAAAAGATGCACTTTACAACAAAAGTAGGGATTATATATGAAACAGTTTTTTGCATCAATATATTACCATAATCAACTGCACTAAAGTGTCATTTGCCATTAGTGTAGCATTATAGTACTAGCAAAGAAAAATTAAAGGAAATGAGAAAAGGTAAGGATTAAGTTCCCTAATTTGAACTTACTTAAGATTTCTTGCAAGTTATCAACAAAATTTATTAGGCAGAAGAATTCGATAATATCTTGACGTTCAAATCTAGATGTGTGAGGGGATTTCTAGGTGGGCAATCAAAAAAGGGGAAAAAAATCCGAATTTGTTTAATTACTTTTTATAATCAAACAAAGACTAGAAATGTGCATTCCCACTATACCCACTAAGTGTGAATTGGTTTAATTTTCATAGAGTAATGAAATCTATTCCAGATCTGTGTTATAAAGCAACGTTTTTTCAGAAATAATTAATATCCATCATTAAACAAGCAAAGGAAACAAATCAATTTCCTTGGGAAAAAAAAAAACCTTAATTGTGAAATTCCTGCAATTATCTGCATTCCAACTACTTGTGAATCGGTTTAGAGTTGTATGCAAAATTACATGCCGAAGTAATTAACCATTGCATCTGAAGCATGGGCTCCTCTAACTATATCAAACTTGCATGACTTGAGAGGGGATAAGAATCCTTTGGCGCAGATGGGATGTTAATAGTTAAATGACTAAAACATAACAATCTTGGCCTCTAGGGGATCTCCCATTATTTCCCCTTGGTTTAAAAAGTAGTATACTAAAGTAATTTCGCATGGTATTAAAACCATGTTAACCTATTCAACTGAACCAACCTAATGCGAATAAAGAGTGTAGAAGAATTCTATCACTAGGTTCTTCTATACTCACACCCAAGATCGTCATGATCCCAAGAAGAAATCGAAGTGTTAGAACTTTGGTTAAGTTAATCATTTATTAAGCAGGAATTTAGTGAGTTTTCTCACTAATAATTTTAAGGAAAGGGTATTTTCATATTTTTGCTATGCTGTAGGATTTTCCGGAATAATAAAAGATCCGGTGGCTCTGGATCTACCTCTTTCCGCGACCAGACATTTCTTTTGTAGTTAGAGTAGGCAGTCGTAAATTAGGTGTGCATCCTAGTTGTCTTTGGTTTGGTTAACATTAGGCCTATAAATAATGTACCTCATACGAGGAGAAATTTCAGCTTAAGTTAAAAAAATTTCCTGCGAAGAAGTTTTGCTTTTGCAATCTTTGTGTGATACAACAAATCCCTTGGTGTTATGCCTTGGATTCATGCTGTGCGATGCCAAAGGGTTTACAATGAATCCTTTTTTACATTTCCAACACACCTGTTTACATTCCCAATTGAAAAAACACCTAAAAACACACACTAAAAAAACAATCCAAACATACCCTTAGTTTTACTGTTGCGTTCTACCTTTTAATCAGCCTATAGTCTGATTTTCTTAACCACCACGTTGGTGCTGCGTCAATTTGGCATCGGAGCTTTTTGTAATTTGAAGACTTTCTGATTTTCATACATCGGCTTAGCTTCAATATTCCTGGTGAGTTTTGATTTTAAGAAAAGGTTTAGATCTCCACTATGCTTTATAAGCTAGGGTTTTGGAAGCTGAATCCTCAACATATTCACAACAACATTGTTGTGGAATCCCCTGGCAGGAGGAAAAGAAGAGATTCATATGATAATACAAGTTACTTCAGATTTGACAATTTGAAAATTTATGGCGGAGATAGTTTTGAAGTTTTTAGTGAGTGGTTAACTACTTTATAGCGATATTATGAAGACATAAGATGACTGATGACGGGAGAAGACGAAGATTTTCTATTAGGTGTCTTGTCAGCAATGCTGAAGATTGGTGGAAACAAGTTGAGTATGATTTGCGACGGCGAGGACAAGGATTGAATTTGTCCTGGGAAGAGATGAAATTACATTTGCAAAGAAAATTCTCTCATCCCTGTGATGATGTTGCCAATGTAGAGCAAAGGGGAATGACTGCAAGTGCATATAACAACATATTCATGAACCTAGAACTTCCCTATAGAGTTCCTGAAAATCAAGAATTAGCCTTGGCTCGATTTAAGCTACGCTTGACCGCTTGGGCTCAGAGATTTGAGACCAAGTTTTAGGTATAAAGTGTGCTCACTTGACGAAGCTTATCAGAGAGCCCTACAAATTGAGAAAAGCTTACAAGAGGAATTTTTTGGTCGGCAGAAGTACCTGAGGAAGGAACCATATCGGAACTCTGCTGCCACTACATGGTTCTCAAAGCCTGCAACAGTTTCTGATTCTAAGGCAGAAGTACATTTAATTGATGAATCTGAAGATGTTAATGAAGAGGTTGGAGAGGACAATGGAGATGATTATTCTATCTACCTAGAGAACTTTGATGATAGTGACCTAGACAATGATATGATAGAAGATATAGGTTCTGGTTATGACTTGGAAATTGCGCAACCTGCAAAGCTTGAAGTTTTAGAAGTGTCTTATGATTTGACTGGTGTTTCTAAGGAGGAAGACAACACGGGTGTTCAAATTCAAAGTTTTGAAGCGCAATATTCAGTGGAATCTAATCCTCTTGTTCAAGAAGCTCCAGAATGTCATTCTTTGGTTCTTGATATTAAAGAGTTTAACGAGGCGATCTCAATGGGTATTACTGCCCTTCAGTATTCCAAAGAAGAAATTACGGTAGAATCAAGAGAGAATGATGTTTAAGACAGTAAGCTTTAAGCTTTACTTAAGTTCTCTCGCAACAAATTTCTCTTTCAATGAGCCTCTTGCACAAAAACCAGAAGAACAACTACCAACTTTTGGTAAGATTACATATGTGGCGGACATGTCTTTCGTAAGGACACATGCTCTAAAAAGCAAAATGAGTGCTGGGTTATACACACTGGAGACTGCTGCTGCTTTTTTGTGACGATACTTCAACCGCTATAGCAATAGCAGCTGATTTGAATAACATTCTCATGAAGCACAAACTTGAGCAACTTTTGGAGCCAATTCAAGTAAAGATTTATGATCCTACAATTCCAAAGATCGATTTTGTTTTTGAAGAGGATCATGACAACAAGCAAGTGAACAGATTTCAAATCTTCTTTTTCCTACCTGAAATTTTGTGAAGGAGATTTTGCAATCATGTTTACAGTGATAGATCGATGGAAAAACTTCATGGTTCTGATCTCTTCATTCTTCGATTCTTTAAAAGTCGAGGACGACTTTTTTCCAACCAATGAGAATAATGCGGATAAGGAAGGGTAGAAGAATGCTATCACTACGTTATTCTATAGTTACATCCAAGATCGTCAATAATCCAGAGGAAATCGAAGTGTTAGAACTTTGGTTAAGTTAATCATTTATTAAGCAGCAATTTAGTTAGTTTATTAATCTCAATAATAATTTTTAGGAAAGGGTAGTTTAGTATTTTAGCTATGCTGCAGGATTTTCTGGATTAAAAGAGGAAATTAGGTATGAATCTAGTTTCTCTTTGGTTAAGGTCATGTTTTAGGCCTATAAATAATGTACCTCATACGAGGAGAATTTTCAGCCTACGTTAATAAAATTTCCTGCGAAGAAGCTTTGCTTTTGCAATTGTTATGTGGTACAATGAAGCCATTGGTGTGATGCCTTGGATTCCTGCGGTGTGATGCCACAGGGCCCTAAGAGAGATTTTTAAGTTTTCTTCCTGTTTCCTACTGTTTTATCTCTGTTTCCTCTGATTCCTAAGCTGTTTTCCATCAGATTCTTTAGTTTTTCCGCTGCGTTCTACCCTTTAATCAGGCTACCGCCTGATTTTCTTAACCACGAAGTTGGTGCTACGTCACACCCCTATTTCGTTGGGCTTTGGAGGTTCTGCAGAATATCTTTGGCCCAAATGGGATTGTATAGAACATTGAGTAATAAAGAAGAATCTTGATCTCTCCCTTCCGTTGCTCCAGGCCATTTGGTTTTGAGTTGGATGCCCAGGCTTACAATTACTGCTTTCAATTTAGAGATAACAAATTAAGAACAACTAGGTATACATTTTCTACGCTTGAAACCCACACTCAAGCATTTTGATCATGTTTAGCTAATGATACCCAGATACCCAAAATAAAAAAAGTAACGGCTTCAGCAGCATCCAGCAAGCACATAGTCCTAGAACGCTTAAAATTACTATTGTCATGACTTTTTAAGCTCAACTACATTTTCGTACGACGGGGAAAGTACTTCACTTATCTCCAAAGGGTACTCACATTATCGTACTGATATTCCAGAGAAAGCAAAATAAAATTTCAACTGAATGAATAAATAGCAGCAGGTACTGTTTTTGGATTCTTGGTTCGAAGTGGAAGATTATGAGGGACCAGGGACAAGGCATCACAGGATATCCTAGAATTCACAAAAATTATATCAGACCTTTGTCCAAACAAGTTAACAGTCAAAAAGTCCTTTGCATTCATTCCCTTCAAGTTCCCTACATCAACACTACGGTGGCCCGATAATGTGCAGAATACATATTTCAAAAAGAAGAGCATAACTTTTATAGTTGTCTATAGGTAGAATACTTACCTCTTTATGTTAACATTGAAAACCCCTAACATTTGTTTGCTAAGAATTGACAACAAATTAAATTTATAACCATTACATTAGAAACAGAGGAAATTTTCTTTTGGATTCACACTGAAAGCTTAAAGGGTGTCCTTGGCAGACTGCTGCCACGTTACAAGACAAAATATAAGGTAAGGCTCGATACATGAGGTTTAAGCCCTCAACAGCCTGCTCTTCTACGAACTGGGATGTCGCTATTGATGTTTTTAACAGTTCCATCTCATATCCTCAAAGGGAGAATGAAAGTTCTTAGGCACTACTTTATAGCTTCTATGTATCACAAATCATAAAAGATTTCCATTGAAAAATTGTCCGTAAGTAAAGAAAAAAAATTTCAACACCTGGCAGTTCCCAGAATGCTTTTTAATTTTGGAGAGGATAATATAACCTACCTGTCCAGCTTTGATAAATGAAGGCCCTAGATCACAAAGAAGATTTCTCAGCTGGTTAGCACGGAAAGGAACAACTTCTTCATCACGACCAATAAAGTAATCATACACTAACGTAGACCAATAGAGGCCTAACTTCCATACGATCTCCACCCCACGGCCAACAAGTGACAATATAGCACCTCGGGATTCCAATACCTTATTTCTTACCTGGAACATCACAAAAAAGCTAAAATTACAACAGGGAATCATACTAAAGTCAATGAAAAAATCACTAATATATAAACCCATTAATTTTGAAATGTACCTTAAAAATTGAAAAGAATTTTATCTGAAATTTTCATCAATAAGGTGCACCTCAATGTACTTTTGCAATTAAAAGAAGACTTACAAACAACAGAGGGAAAATATCAGGACAAAAACTGTAGAACCCATCTGAAAGGGTCATCCGATCAATCTAGATTTTAGTTCCAATATGTCTAGATTTTTATTCAATATTAACAAGGATTCGGGATATATAACACCCTGATCTATGATTGAACAAATAAATGAGACGGATTAACAAAAAATATTAGAATAAAAGCAAGATAAGAGGGAGAATTTCAGAAGATAGTTTTGCAGAACTTAGAAGACATCAAAGAAGACACTAAGGAGCATTTATTGAGCCAAAAAAAAATCAGCTACTAAATCATAAACAGATAGTAGGATTACACATAACTAGTAGAAATAAATCAAGCACATTAAAAATAACGCCATCAGGTAGTCAAGTGGAAGAAATTAATACCGTTTGCGGCGTATATTTGCGGAATGGAACGCAAACTCCACGTTCGATATCCAACTGATCCAAAGCGGTGTTAACGCCGTCAACAGAAGTCGTACTGAGCTTTCCATTTCCTGAGGAGATTTCTACTGTCTCCATCAACGAATTCGTGGATGACTTGAGGGAGGAAGAATTATTGCCATTAATTTTCCGATCACCAGCGATATTGATGCTGCTACTACTTCCGGGCACGAAATTCGGAAGGCGAAGCTTTTCGCGACTGATAATCGGCGAAATTTTTGGATTGGATTTCAATTTCGGAACGTGAAAGTAGTTTGTGCTCATGATCAGCTCCATGATTTGACAACAGACTGGGAGTAAGCTCCGTTCGAGCGTTTCTATATACTTTCCATTTCGTATTTCTTTGTTTTTCTTTTTCCCCTTTTTGGGGTAAATTTCGGTGACGATAATTAAATGGATAATAAATTATAATGAGAGGTCAGTTAGGCTCGTCGAATCATGCAACTTGTCTGGGTTGCGGCGTCACTAATTGTTTTATGAAAGGGTGTTTATTTTTCAAGCCATCGAGATTACTGCTTGGAGCCACCACTTTAAAATTTGGATCATTTTACTTTTTTTATTTTTTCAAATCAAATAACTTGACTAAAATAAGTCCAATAATAAAGTATTCTTAAATTTAATGACCTAGACCGCTTGGTCGGCCGGTTTTTTTTTTAATTTTCAATTTTTTAAAAAATTTTTTAAATTTTAGATTTTTTGTAATTAGTTAATCTAGTTTTTAGGTCATTAAATTTATGAATAATTTATTATTTGAGTTACATTAAGTATCACTAATCTTTGTAGTACAAAAAATAGTTAATCTATTTGCACATATTTATCACAATCTTTTGTAGTACAATTATAATTTTTCATTATAAATATATAATTATTTTTTCATTATAAATATATAATTATTATTTTAACTAAAAATTATCTTTAAAATAATGATTGAAGTAAAATTTATATTTTAATATCAATTCAATTAAATTAACTTAACGAATAATCTTAAATTTGTTTTCAAGTAAAAATTAATTACTTGTTTATTTTCAAGTAAATATAAAATCGAGAGTTTAACCACTAAAGTATAAATATTGTTAATAATATTTAAAGTATGAGGTATTCAACATGTAACGATGCTGCGAATAAATTAATATTAAAATAAAAATTAATAATTTTTCCGTTCTCACGTGAATAGGGCCGGATGACTTGGCCGATTGGCTTATTCTCTCTCTTTCTCTCTCCCCTTCTTCCTCTCTCTATATTTCATTTGGGTTTGGAAAAAATAAAGGGGCAAAATGGTCATTCTTCCAAAATGGTGGCTCCAAGTAGTAAAAGGGGTGGCCGGAAAAATCCCCCCCTTATGGAATAGTGAAATTGCGAATTTTTTTTTACATTACTTTTCACAGTTCAGAAATTACTCACCTATAGATCATTTTTGACAATTTTGCCCATAAACCCTTTTTATTCTCCCTTTCTTCTTCTCCTTCCTCATTTCTTCTTCTTCTTTCTATTTTTCTCCTTCTCCAACTTCATCTTCTTCTTTCTTTTTATCAAATTTTAAATCCAGATTTACTGAAAATCGAAGTTTAAAAAAATTGCGAAACAAGACAAACAATCACGGGAAAGAGCACCATCGATATCGGTAAATTTTTTTTTTTACCAAATCCTATTTTAAACAAAATTAAAAGAAAAATGACTGCCCATACTAGCCGACCCGACCAGCGGCCAGCCCAGGAACCTTGGCCGATGAGAAATCCGGTCAAGGGTAGAAGATTGGCCAGGTCAAAGACCGGCAATCATAGAATAGTGACCGGCCTGGCAGTTTTCTTTTTTTTTTCAAATTTTTTTTGTGGTTTTTTTATTTTTTTTGTTGTAATTTTGATGTTATAATTAATTTAGTTAAATTTATTTATAATTAATGTAATTAGTTGTTGTATTATTATTTGATTAATTTAGTTAAATTTATTTATAATTAATATAACTAGTTGTTGAATTTTGTGTTATTATTTTTTATATGTCACTTTTTTTTTGTGCTTTAGTAACATGTTTAATTTAATTTATTAGGTATAATTTGTTTAATTTAATAATTAGTGTAGATTAGGTATGTGGTATATATTTGTCTCATTTAATTAAATTTATATTTGTATATCGTATTTAGTTAGTATTAATTTTAGGCTTTAATAATTAATTATTGTTTACGTAAATGAATTAGTTATTTTGTTATGTATATTGTATTTTTAAAAATTTGATATATTTCATTTACAGGATTATGGTGGTGACAGTGTTGATTGCAGTCATCATTTCGATACTAACATAAGATTCGCAACTATTGAAGCCGCTGTGCTATGGGCAAAAAAGACTGCGATATCTTTTAATTTCACAGTGGTTAAGGCGTCGAAGACAGGTGAGACTAAGAAATTATTACGATATCCAAAGGGTGTTCCCCCTAGAGATATAGATAATCGGGTGCGAGAAACAAAGGCGCAGTATTGTGGATGCCCGTTCCGACTTCTAGCCCAAATTTGCCCAGGCGAATCTACTTTTAGGATTCGTTCATGTCCTGGTCGTAATGGTACGTATAACCACCCGTTTGGTAGCTTCGAGGAGGGACAGATGTAGATGAGCAGCCTTAGTGATAAATCGAAGGCGATTGTTGACGAGTTGACTGCCATTAATGTAAAACCGTCTGCAATGTTGCGGGCGATTCAGGAGAAATGCCCGGACGAGCACGTTGTGATCAAATAGATATATAACTATAAGAGTAGGATGCAGGTGAAAAAGATGAAGGGTAAAACGTTGGTGGATCACTTCTTTGACATTACTCAGCAACACAAATATGTGATTACTACGGCTAATGAAAAAGGTGTGTTGGGTCATATTTTCTGTGCACATCCAGTATCTGTAGAGTTGATATGAGCATACCCGTGGTATATTGGCATGGATACTACTTATAGAACAAACAGGTATAATATGCCGCTGTTATAAATTATTGGGATGACTCTAACTAACAAGAATTTTCTGATTGGATATGGAATTATAAAGGATGAGAAGAAGGAGAGTTATACTTGGACATGTCAGCTGCTTCGGGATATGATTGGATGGGAGGTGCACCCGTATGTCATTGTGACAGATAGGAAGTTAGGGCTGGCAGAACCAATCAGTTTGATATTTTCAGGTTCTGCACATCTTCTGTGCGTGTGGCACATCAACAAATGTGTTTTTGAAAACACACGGCGGCATTTTGGAAAGAAATTCGCGAACTGGTGGAAGAATGAGATGTTCGATCTGATACTTGAGCTCCTATTGAATACCTTCATGAAATGGCTGTGATTAATATGTCGTACTACAGGCACCCAAATGTGAAAAGTTATGGAGAGTAGTGAATTATGTGAAGACCACTTGGCTAGTTCACAAGGAGAAGTGGGCTCGTACGTGGACAAATAGGGTCACACATCTTGGAAACACAAATAATTGTAGGGTGGAGAGCGCCCATAGTTCCATGAAGAAGTTTCTTGACTCGGCGACCAGTCACCTAGTTACAATATGGACCAAAATCCACGCAGCGATCGAGTATCAGTTAACTGAAATCAAGTAAAAAAAATTCGTTCGTTGTTTAATTTTATTTTTAATATTTAATTACCAAGTCTTATATTAACAATGAGGAATTTAAAATGTAGGTTCCGTCTAACCGAATCAGAACACCGTTCGAGGAGAGAGCACCTTTAGTTTTCTTATGACCGTCTAGCTAGACGTGTCTCACATTACTATTTGGACATTCTTCAAAGTGAGTATATTCGCATGCAGCAATTGGGTGAGGATGATGTTTGTGGTTGTGTGTTGAGACCGACCCATGAAATCCCCTGTGCATGTGAGCTTAAACAGAAAAGGGAGTTGCAGGTGTCCATTACAGTTGCCGACCTCCACCCTTTTTGGAGCAGACTTAATTTTACAAGTGCGACACCTGATTCGGCCCCAAGTGATGATGCTCAACATTTTGTGTCAAAGGAGCATATGATTTTTACAGAGCTTTCCCTTAAGGCGTTCAACAAGAGGCATGAATTTTTGAGCCCTGTCAATGAGTTTCTGCACCATGAGTTGGAAGAAGAGGAACACCATGAGCAGATGAGTTTCGAGGAACAAGAGCAACACCATGATCAGATGAGTTTCGAGGAACTTGCAGTGAAGACAAGTGTTAAAGGGGGCCCGAAAGTAAATATCCCGCGGAAACGGTCTTATTGGAAGAAGTATACTGTTAGTTTAGGGAGATCTCGCATGAGCACACCCTCGCCTACATCCGATGAAGTTCGTAAGAATGTTTTGAATTTATTTTTTTTTTGATGTCACATTTTATTTTTAAACATTTTGTTTCGACAATGTACATAACGTGAATATTGTTTTTTTTAGGTGAGCAAAGAGGTTGGAGGACGGATTTTCATTCATATCAGTTTCGGCAATCTATTCCATCTTTTATGGTTCCCTTCGTTCGGGGATACCTTGATGTGAGGGGAGATGGGAACTATGGGTTCCGATGTGTGGCAGAGTGTGCTTGAAATTCAGAAGAGGATTGGCCGTTGGTCGGAACAAGCATTATTCAAGATCTTATTAAATAGCCGGATTTATATGATCCTTCGTATTACTACAAAAGGGAACAAAACATACGACGCTTAAGGTGGCTGGTAGGTAGTTGCCTTCCGCCCCATTATATGGAATGCACACAAGACTTGTACGCGATTGCTACCATCTGGAATGTTGTAGTTTTTCTGTACGGTCTTGGGAATACATTACACGGAGATTTGGGTTATTATTGACAGTGTTGCCCTTACTGATCGTGGAGACGCCGGAAGATCAACTCGTGAGATTGTGCTTATTCACCTCGGTTGTGTAGATCATTACATTTGTGTTGATTTCGGTAGTGATTTTCCTGTACCTCCTGTACATCCTTATTAGTTTAGGTGGCGTGACAACAATGTTAGGCTGAGAAGATGAGTACCACTCTAGGATAGCAAAGTAGAATAGACTATGTAGATCTAGTTAGTAGTTGCATAACATTTATTTAAATTGTTAAAACTAGTTATTTAAATTTCATATGTTCCATTGCAAATTTTTTCAAACATTAAAACACATAACATAACATTCTGAAATTGGGAAGAAATCTAAGAAGTAACACATTACATAATATTCTGAAATTGGGAAGAAATCTAAGAAGTAACACATAACATAACATTCTGAAATTGGAAAGAAATCCAAGAAGTAACACATAATATCCTAATAAAATCACATCAATCTCTCTGGCTCAA